GCCATGGCCGTGCCATCACCGTGCCATCACCGTGCCAGGGCCGTGCCAGGGCCGTGCCATCGCCGTGCCATCGCCGTGCCATGGCCGTGCCATCGCCGTGCCATCACCGTGCCATCGCCGTGCCATGGCCGTGCCATCACCGTGCCATCGCCGTGCCATGGCCGTGCCATCGCCGTGCCATGGCCGTGCCCCTCCCAGCCGCCCCCCTCTCTTCCCCGGGTGCGCACAGAGCTCCCCCCGTTTCCATCCCCCCCGGTACCGAAATTCGCCTTTTTTTTTTGCCCCTCCCGCGGCGCCTCCATCGCGTTCTTTTCTCTCCGCTCCCCCTCCGGGAGCCCCGGCCGAGCCCGAGGGGGCCGGGCCGTGCCAGGGGGCGGCTCCAGCCCGGTACCGGCGCGGGGGGGGAGCTCGGTGCCCGCCCCGCCGGAGCCTGCGCGGGGCCGCGGCCGTGGCAGCTCCGCGATGCCGCCTCCTCCGGAGCCCATGCCCGGTTACGGGGAGCTGCTCCGCCGGGGTTACGGCAGCCTGGCCGCGGCCGCCCGCAGCTGCGGGGACTGCGGCTGGGAGCTGGCGCTGCGCACCTGGGCCGAGAACGCGCACCTGGGCTGGGCGGAGGTGCTGCTGTGCGGGCTCTGCGCGCTGGGCTGGACCGCGCTGCGCCGCGCCTGCTCCCGCCGCCTCTTTCGGGTCAGTGCCGGGCTCCGGGAGCGGGGGGAACGCGGGGGAACGCGGGGGGAACGCGGGGGGCAGCGGTCGCCCCCGCTGCGGGGTTGGGGATGCGGGGGGATGCGGTTGTGGGGTGAGGGATGCGCCCCGGTTTTGCTGGCGGGGCCGCATCGCCGAGCGCGGAGCATCCCCGGGGACCGGGAGAGCCCCCCCCGCCGCCTTCCGCCGCCTCCCCGCGCCGCCTTCCCGGCGCTGCAGCCCCGCAAGGCTGAGCGGATTTTCTTCCAGGTTATTCGCAGGTTGTTCCGTGCCTTCCTGCGCCGCTGCATCCCTGAGGATGGAGCACCGGGAGAGCCCCCCAGCTCCTTTTCCCCCTGCCCCATCCCCCCCGGATCCATCCCCCATCCCCTCAAGGCTGAGGTTATTTCTTCCCGGTTATTCCCGGTTTTTTATGCCTTTCCCGGGACTGCATCCTGTAGGATTTGAGCATCCCGGAGCACCGGCAGAGCCCCCCATGCTCCTTTTCCCCCCCTTCTTCCCCCCCTTTCCATCCCCACAAGGTTGAAGGTTATTTCTTCCCGGTTATTCCCGGTTTTTTATGCCTTTCCCGGGGCTGCATCCTGTAGGATTTGAGTATCCCGGAGCACTGATAGAGCCCCCCATGCTCCTTTCCCCCCCCTTATTCCCCCCATTTCCATCCCCACAAGGTTGAAGGTTATTTCTTCCCGGTTATTCCCGGTTTTTTATGCCTTTCCCGGGGCTGCATCCTGTAGGATTTGAGCATCCCGGAGCACCGGCAGGGCTCCCTCCGTTCGTTCCCCCCTGCCCTATCCCCCCCGGATCCATCCCCGCATCCCCTCAAGGCTGAGGTTATTTCTTCCCGGTTATTCCCGGTTTTTTTTTTTTTTATTCCCGTGTTGTTCCGTGCCTTTTACCGGGAGGATCTGAGCATCCCCGAGCACCGGCAGGGCCCCCCCTGCTCCGTTTCCCCCTCCACGTTTCCATCCCTGCCCCCACAAGGCTGAGGCGTTTTTCTTCCCGGTTATTCCCGGCTTTTGCCGTGCTTCCATGCCTTTTCCAGGTCTGCATCCTGTAGGATCTGAGCATCCCTGAGCACCGGCAGATCCCCCCTGCTCCTTTTCCCCTTTATTTCCCCCACATTTCCATCCCCACAAGGTTGAAGGTTATTTCTCCCCCGTTATTCCCACATTTTTGTGCCTTTCCCGGAGCTGCATCCCGCAGGATTTCAGCCCTCCCTGCTCCTCCCCCGCTCCGTTCCCATCCCCTCATCCCCAGAAGGTCACGGATTTTTCCTTCGCGCTCAGTCCCAGCTCGTCTCTTGCCCGTGGGGGAAGAAGAGGTGACACAGAGGTGACACGGAGGGGACACGGAGGGGACACGGAGGGGACACGGAGGGGACACATTCCTGCGGTTTTTGGAGCAGATCTCCGTGCCCAGCTCGCTGCTGCAGCGCGGGGATGCAGCGCTGCCGCCGGGCCCTGCAGCCACGGAGCGCTGTCCCCACTCTGTCCCCCACTGTCCCCACACTGCCCCCACACTGTCCCCACCATTGTCCCCACCATTGTCCCCACACTGCCCCCACACTGTCCCCACCATTGTCCCCACACTGTCCCCCCCCTCCCCCCCCCTTGCCAGGCTGGATTTTCCCCATTCCCTGTCTGTCCATGAGGTGCTGAAGGGGCTGTGGGTGAGAAAAGTGCTGGGAATTTGTGCCAGGATGGATTTCCCTCATGCCCTGTCAAGTTCTGAGGGGTTAAAGGGGCTGTGGGTGAACTGTGAGGGGAATTTGTACCAGGCCTGATTTCCCCCATCCCCTGGCTGTCCATGAGACATTGAAGGGGCTGTGGGTGAAGTTTGTGAGGGGAATTTGTGCCAGGCTGGATTTTCCTCATTCCCTGTGAGGGGTCAAAGGAGCTGTGGGTGAGGAAAGTGCTGAGAATTTCTGCCAGGATGGATTTCCCTCATTCCCTGTCTGTCCATGATGCATCGAAGGGGCTGTGGGTGAGGAATCTGCTGGGAATTTGTGCCAGGATGGATTTCCCTCATCCCGTCTGTCCATGATCCATCAAAGGGGCTGTGGGTGAGGAATCTGCTGGGAATTTATGCCAGGACTGGATTCATGTCCAGTCAGTCTCTGAGGGGTCAGAGGGGCTGTGGGTGAGGAATCTGCTGGGAATTTGTGCCAGGATGGATTTCCCTCATGCCCTGTCTGGCTCTGAAGGTTTCAAGGGGCTGTGGGTGAAGTTTGTGAGGGGAATTTGTGCCAGGCCTGATTTCCCCCATCCTCTGTCTGTCCATGAGGTTTTGAAGAGACTGAAGATAAGGAATCTGCAGGGAATTTGTCCCAGACTGAATTTCCCTCATTCCTTGTCAGGTTCTGAGGGGTAAAAGGGGCTGTGGGTGAGGATTGTGAGGGGAATTCGTGCCAGGCCTGATTTCCCTTATTCCCAGTCTGGCTCTGAGGGGTTGAGGGGGTGTGGGTGAGGATTGTGAGGGGAATTTGTACCAAACTGAACTTCCTTCATTCCCAGTCTGGCTCTGCGGCTTTGAAGGTGCTGTGGGTGAAGTTTGTGCGGAGAATTTGTGCTAGGCTGAATTTCCTTCATTCCCAGCCTGTCCATGATGTGTTGAAGGGGCTGTGGGTGAAGTTTGTGAGGAGAATTTGTGCCAGGCTGAATTTCCTTCATTCCCAGCCTGTCCATGATGTGTTGAAGGGGCTGTGGGTGAGGAATCTGCTGGGAATTTATACCAGGCCTGATTTCCCTCATTCCCTGTGAGGGGTTGAAGGGGCTGTAGATGAGGAAAGTGCTGGGAATTTTTGCCATGCTGGATTTCTCTGGCAGCTCCTGGCAGCCCCGAGGTGCCATTCCCTGGGGAAATGGGTCACTGCTGTAACTGCAGAAGGGCCAGGGGGGCTGAGGGGTTCCTGTGGCTCCAGCTGCCTCTGCCTGATGCTGATGAGATGCTGAGCAGGGCTCTGGTGGCATCAGCTTTCCCCCGGGAGGGAGGGACAGCTCCGTCTCCAGGGCTGTATTTTAAAAAGATTGGAAAATTTCCTGGCTGGAATTGCTGTGGGCAAGGATGGGAATTGTGGATTTTCTGGAAGAGCTGCCAGGTTTGGGTCTCACAGCCCCTGAGAGGGCAGGGCTGGGTCAGGATGGTTCAAGGGGGCGAAAAAAGAGTTGTTTGAGCCTAGGAACTTCTCCCCTGCTCAGGATTTTGCTTCTCGGGGCATCCTTCCTCACTTGGAGGCTGAAATGACTCCTGAAAGGCCTCCCAGCAGCTCCCAAAGGGTTTTTCCCCCTTGCTTTGGAGGGGATTTTCCAGCCCTGATTTTCTTCTCGCCCTTCTCAGACCAAATTTTCATCTTTTTGCTGCTTCCTCACAGAATCCTCGGTGCAAACACAGCGAGGGGGGTGTGTTAGGGTGGGAAAGATCCCAGTCAGGGGAGGAAATGTGGATTAAAAGGTCGGGAAAGAGCCTCAGAGCCAGCAGAGCACGAACATCCCTGTGGGATTCATCCCTCCTTCCCAGGCCCTGCTCTGTGTCCCGCTGAATTTTGGGAGCACAAACACCTGCAGGAGCTCCCTGGGGCTGCAGAGCAGCTCGCGGGGCTGGAGCTGCTGCAGGTGATAGGAAGGGTTTTTTGGGTTTTTCCCCCTTGCTTTGGAGGGGATTTTCCAACCCTGGTTTTCTTCTCGCCCTTCTCAGACCAAATTTTCATCTTTTTGCTGCTTCCTCACAGAATCCTCGGTGCAAACACAGCGAGGGGGGTGTGTTAGGGTGGGAAAGATCCCAGTCAGGGGAGGAAATGTGGATTAAAAGGTCGGGAAAGAGCCTCAGAGCCAGCAGAGCACGAACATCCCTGTGGGATTCATCCCTCCTTCCCAGGCCCTGCTCTGTGTCCCGCTGAATTTTGGGAGCACAAACACCTGCAGGAGCTCCCTGGGGCTGCAGAGCAGCTCCAGAAATTAAAACTGAGCTCTAGGAAAAGTTCTGCCGTGCCTGGAATCCCGGGATTAACAATTCCAAGGGTTCTGGGGCTGCCTTGGTGCCCCAGACGTGTCCCTGTGAGGGTGGCTGTGCCAGCCCGGAGCACTTGGATTAAACAGCAGCAACCTGAGCACATCTGTGCTAATTAAAACCCCTGGAGGGCACCCGGGCCTGGAAACAAAGTGGAAAAAAGAATGGGAGAAGCCCCTGGAGCTGCCTCCTTCCCCTGGGGCAGGGAAATCCAGGAGCACACCTGGATTGGGGCACAGCTGGAATTGCTGAGACCCCCCTGGAAGCCCCAAAAGTGACCTGGGAGGGAGGAACATCCCCTGGGAGGAGCAGCTGGGTTTGGGGGTGCTCAGGTGTCCCCTCTGACCCCAAAGTTTTGCTCTGCAGAGGGCAAAATTCTCCATTTATGAGCCAGCCACAGGCAAGAGTGTGTTCTAAAGCTAATCCTAACCCTAACCCTAAATCTAAAACCTAACCCAAACCCTAATGCTACCCCTAGCTCTAATCCTAAACCTAACCCTAACCCTAATCTTTATCCTAACCTTAACCCTAATCCAATCCTAAGCCTAACCCTAAATGTAAACCCTAACCCAAACCCTAATTCTACCCCTAACTCTAATCCTAAACCTAACCCTAACCCTAATCTTTATCCTAACCTTAACCCTAATCCAATCCTAAGCCTAACCCTAAATGTAAACCCTAACCCAAACCCTGACCCAATCTCTAATCCTAACCCTAATTCTACCCCTAACTCTATCCCTAACACTCAGCCTAAACCTAACCCTAATCCTAACCTTAAACCTAACCCAATCCTCAGTTTAACCCTAAATCTAAACCCTAACCCAAACCCTGACTCAAACCCTAATCCTAACTCTAATTCTAACCCTAATCCTCACCCTAAACCTAAGCCTAACCCTGACCTGGTGGTGTCCAGGTTTTTAGGACATCCCAGTGTCCTCTGCAGGGAAAAATGCTGGAAAATGTTCTCAGGGTGGCAG